CAGTTGTGGAAATAGATGATGAGATGTTGGGTTCTGGTGAATGATAGGTCTAGTTAATTGTCATTGGCATATTGGTGGAAGTTTAGTTGATGACGACGAATAATTTGACCAAGTGGTGAAATGTACAGTGAAAATAACAAGGGACCAAGTACCCAGCCTTGGGGAACCCCATAATGAAACTTAACTTGTTGTGACGAGTGGTTGTTAATGACAATATATTGAAGAATGTCAGATCTTGTATGGCCAGTCGTGTCAGCAATATGCGATGGTCGATGGTATCAAAGGCAGCAGATAAGTCCAACAGTATTAAAATAACATAATGGCCAGAGTCAAGAGAATTTAAGATGTCACTATGGACTTTGCCAAGTGCTGTCTCAGTACTTGGATACTTTTTGTAAGCCGATTGTAACGTAGTGTAACAACTGCTAACTTGAAAGAGGTTGGGACGATTTCATGCAGAAGAGAGAGGTTGATAACAATGGTGATCCAAGGTATGAGCTGGATTTTAAACTTCTTAAGTAGATGTGTTGGAATTGGATCAAGGCAGCAAGACTTGGATGGCGCTTCTGTGATTATTTAGAGTTATAATGCGAAATTGCTTTGTTTACATCTGTTGGAGGTTCCTTCAATTTCTTTGGCAAATTCTTCTGTGACAATAGCTTGAATGCACCGGTAAGTTATTTTTTTGTACAAGTGGAGGGTTGGGTAATACAAGTTCTATGCGAATAGGAAAATGAAAACTAAACAAATGATAGTGTCTATATTAGTGAAAACCAGATCCAGAATCTGGCCGCGGTTGTGAGTAGGTGCACTGACCCACTGAATGAGGTTGCATAAGTTGATTAATTCCTTAAATCTATGAAGATCAGTGGAGGATGATAAGGTTGTCCAATGGAAATTGAAATCCCCAGTAATAATCAGACTGCTAGAATATACAGAGGATGTTTCCAGGAGAGACCCAAATTCATCAAAGAATTTGGAAACTGTAAATTTTAAATTTGAATTTGGAGGTCTATAGATAAAGATAACTTTAAAGGTTATATTATGCTAACGAAGGTAGTGAAATTATGTAGCGGTTTCCAGGTGATGACATTAATTTGTGATTTACATAAGGTGGCAATCCTACCTCCTTTAGATTTCATGCGTGGAAAATGACTAGATGAATATCTTGGTAGTGTAAGTTCATTGATGATGGGTTCATCATCAGTAGGTTTTAGCCATGACTCAGTAATTGCTAGTTCATCAATGTTATGTTAAACAATATAGTCTTAAATGTTTGAGGCTTTATTTCAAATTGACAGTACATTCCAGCAGCAAAGTTGAAAATGTTGATTTCTTGGTATGGATCTTTGAGAGATAGGTTGCAATTTCCGACTGCCAGCCCTTTTACCTCTATGAGTTGAAGGCTTTGTTTGAATACAGAGTGATGTAATTTGGGAGCATTTGAGTTTACCTTGATTACTATTGTTCCTAAGATGGAGTAGTTGGTTTCTTGCATAATTTGGTTGATTTATCATTTTAATATGAATACAAGTCATTAGTAATACAACAGACAGAAAACCCTGCATTTGGAATGTTAAGTAGATCATTACTAAATCCAGGTGCACTGGTATTTGTAAAGGTGCTCAATAAGTCCATTGTCCATGTAAGCTTGAATTACTATAATAATAGACAGTGATGGTAGATGTTGAAAAAACCACTGAAGCAAAACTTGTAGAAATTAGTGAAAACCATAGCTTAGACAACCCCAATTGACGATCCAGTATGGTCACTAATAGTTCATAAGAGGATAACTGATTTAGAATAGATGATGATCAATAAACCAGAGCAATTTGTAGAGCAACTGTGAGTGGCAGCCTGTTAGGCGCACATCATACTGATTCAATGTTGGGTTGCCTGGTCAGATCAGTGAGGGTTTTTTTTACTACTATTGGGTATTTGAACAAATTTTATCTATGCACAATACTAATGTTATTTCAATCTTCATTCAACACATGGATTTACCAACTAAATCTGATTTAGTGTTTTGTGTAAATCTCAAAGTCTGCTATCGTTCAATGTCACAGTTGTCCATGTTGTTGATTCTTGAGTTCAAGTACGCAATCTAGTCACACACGTCACACACATTCAATAGAGCCAACAAGCATTTCATTATTGCATTTTTTTCCCTATACAGCTTATCCTGGGGTCCCATAACCTTTGGTGATTTCAAGTCACTGCAATACATTGTTAAATTAGTTGTCAAATCGCAGTGTAGTCTCAAACACCAGAATTAATAAACTCCTCAATCTAGTAATAAACATGAACTTAAATAGAAAGAAACTGCCTTTTTATCTCTGCTGTTGACTTTGTCGAGCAAAGCTTATCATGAGTGATTGTATCCCGTCATCCATCATCTGTGTCAACTTTTTACTTCTTCAATTTCTTTTTGAAAACTGTAATTTGTATTGGCTTTGATACTTTGTGTATATGTTCCTTGGGCAGACCTCTCTTAGATTGGTTCATTTCATGATATCTTCAATTCTCTAATTTTGATGAATATTTTTGTAATTTTTGGTAAAAAGTGATATTTTCGACTTCTTGTTAAAAACCACATTTCTGATTCCTCTGGTATCATATATATATTAGGTACTAATACATATAGTTACTACAGGTAGATCTGTATCAGATTTGTTCATTCTATAATTACAAGGTGGATATCGACTGCCATGAATTAGTGTGAATTTGTAATGACTCCAAACACCTTTAATTCCTTCCACATTAAGTTAACTTATTAGTTTACCAAGCTCCCAAATTAGTTAATTTAATAATTGTCTACGCTAGAGATGACAATAACATATCTACCTTTCTCTTGATTGGTCATTCAGTAAAGGTAATGAATGGTAACATCACAAAAATGAGGATCAATCTTCCTTAAATTCTGATGCAACCTTTGGCCAATTTCTATAATTGGATACTAGTTTTTATGAAAAATACTTGGGAAAAAAACTAAATTCTTCAGGCTTATTTTGTGAAAGTTGATTTTTAAAATGTTACAGGTCTGTGTGGAATGGAAAAGAAAAAAGTAAATCAATAACATTATTTAATACGCTTTTCAGTCTTTGTAATCAGTATTATTAAAAAATGAAATACAACCACAACATTCAAAATATTGTACAGCACGACAAAAAAGACAACTCACAACCAAATATTCACATGTACAAGTTCAAGTACATGTAATTTGGAACACAACACAAGTTTCTAATTTGAACCCATGTAACACGTACAATCACTGAATGCAAAATGTTATCCAACCTCTGAAAATCATATAATTGTTATAATATAATAAAATAAAACATATCAATCATGGTCATTCTTTAATGTCTTAAACTTAATTCCAATTATTATTCAAACAGCATAATATGAAGTCTTCTATAGACATGAAACGTGATCTGTCAGTGCATGGAATATATGCCTAACAATCCAACATGAAACGTGATCTGTCAGTGCATGGAATATATGCCTAACAATCCAACATATAGGATCTTAACACAATGACCATTGATGTGGTAATGATCTAAAATGGATTCATAAATGAAACAACCATGAATACTACCAGTAGTACTTTTGTTTAACTGTATTCATGATAAGCATTTGTCCAGAAAATTCTGCTGTTGAAAATGTCTAAGAAATGTGCATACAAGGCTCAGGCATCACTCTCCCCAACTGTTTCTCTCTCCTCTGCTTTCTTTCTAAGATTGACTCTCAAACTTTCAAGTCTGGCTTTCTGGAAAAATAAAATATTTGTTCATCAGAATGCTGCAGGTGTGCACAGGTAAGTAAACAGTAAAAAGTTAATAACAATTAAGGTAAGTAAACAAACCTGTTCCAAGTCTTCAGGTGGATACAGATATCTCTACAATGTGAACAAAAAAGATATTATTTGAGATAAATATTATGTACAAACAACATTGTTATTATGCATTCAGGTTTTTCAGATCACCTTATGTTTTGATTTGTTATCAAATAGAACAATAGATTTGAAATAATCAATTTTTTACATGGTGTATATGGTATTTAACATGGTTTATATATGTAAAATGGTGTATATGGTATACATGTATAACATGGTGTAAAGATGTCAGTAGTGGTACAAAGTAGCAAAGATGTCAGCAGTGGTCTAAAGTAGCAAAGATGTCAGCAGTGGTCTAAAGTAGCAAAGATGTCAGCAGTGGTCTAAAATAGCAAAGATGTCAGCAGTGGTCTAAAGTAGCAAAGATGTCAGCAGTGGTCTAAAGTAGCAAAGATGTCAGCAGTGGTCTAAAGTAGCAAAGATGTCAGAGCAGTGGTCTAAAGTAG